TTATCTCCTACAGACCTCCACATCATGTGAGCGAACAAAGGCAACGAGCTCCTGAAGGGTCCCTCTCTAATACATGAGAAAGCTGTAGCATTGCAACCAGGATTTCAGCATGAGGATCTTGTTTTGGAGGTGTCAAACTGCCAGAACACACACCCATATTTCTGAAGTTATCAACAACAATTCAAACCATTTCCTGACTCAAAAAGGCTGTATCTTGACTCGATCTGGCAGATAACAAAGAAACACAAGACCAAAACAGAAACCAAGTGTTTACATTTTGGTACATGCAAGTGCTTGGGCTGTTCATTTTGAACATCACAACCGTACAGCCCAAACCACTGATATTACTCCACTTCCTGCCACTGTACGCAGCTGAAAATATTTGACAGTGAGATGGGGAAAAAAAGACACATAAAAACATGAGTTATCGTTAGTTAAGAGCATTTTACTAAATAACCTACAAATGAAGATTCCACATTCCCTCAAAAAAAGCCTTTGGCTTAAAGAGAAGTGAGCAACTGTACACTTGAAACAGTATAAAAACTCCAAGCTGTAACACATAGCCAAGTGAGGAAGTTGTTAACTGGTAATACAGATTTAAATAGAAGATTATAGACAGTTGAAAAATGAAACTGAATTTAGCACTAAATAAGGAGGATTGGGATTTTCCGAGGATGCTAAGAAAAGAAAACGATACAGAAACAGTGGAGTTATTAGTAGTACCAAAGAAAATACAGCAGTAGTCGATAGCTATTTCTCTGCTACAGAAAAACATTGGCTTGTTTCATTTGGTGATGAAATAACCTGCATTATAAAATAACAGGAAAAGGTTTAACGAAAGCTTACGTGGTTTCAGGTTTCAAAGACAGCTGTCCCAGGGGTTGTTTAGATCACTGAAGCTGAACTTTCAAACCTTTAAGTGTTAGGGAAGCTCCAGGAGAGTACAAGAATACATATGTGGTACCAGAGCAGTCCAATTTTGGCCAAGACAAGAGGATAACTGGTGTAAGACTTTATAACAGAGGTAATATAGTTTTTACCCTTTCGCAATAGTTTGCTTCTGGACCAGATTAACACCACCACATATCCATATGGCACATGTCAAGCAGCTTTTAATCTAGACAGCACTCAGATCTTCAGCTGCAGTAGTCACTGAGAGATCATTTCCAAACATAGGTGGGGTTTTGTGGGTTTCTGTAGGAAGCAGTCCTCCTCCGGTATTATTTACTATCTTCTGTCAGTGACCACGCAGCACAAGCAAAATCACTCTTGATCCAGGGTTACAAATGAGAGAAAGCTCTAAAGAACAGTAAGAACAGGCACTGATGCTTGGTGACCTGAATTGGTGGTGATCCAAGTACAAGAAAACAGCTCCCACTCCAGAACACCAAAGGAAGGAACCAAGGCCACACACCAAGGAACCAGCAACTGTTAAAAAAGGCTAATGTTTATGGCAATTGTCAAATCCACTGTGACCTACTGTGATCAGTATATTTAAAGCATGCAACTAGGGGAATATCAAGAAGCCAAACAACCTCTCATTTGGCTCTGTTGCAACTACTGCTGTGCTCCATTATGGTACCCACATGCTTAGAAAGCAGCTGAAAAACTGTAAAGGGATCAGTGAATAATGAAAACAGTTAATGGATGAGGGGTGTACACAGTTCAGCCTATTTAATTTAGGAAAGAGAACATTACAAATGTTTTCATCACAGTTTAATCAACAACTCGCACAACTGCCATAACTAATGGCTCTTACATTCAGCAACCAAAAACATAGCTGGAATCAAGTGACAAAAGATGCAGCTAGGCAAATTCATCCTAGAAATAGAACACACAGCAAAAGTGGAATAACTGATCATTTGGATTCTGCATCCCATAGTTTGTGATGGATATTCCCTCATCAAAAATCTTAAATTAAGAAGAAAAAAAACCAAAAAGAGGTCATCTGAAAGCTATGCTCCAGATCGGCTCTACAGTGGACTTTGTGTTATAGTTACCTCTGGGGAATTGTCTTGACCTTTGCAAGACAAGAGCTAATCACTTACATCCATATATATTCTCCAAGCAATTCTGCTTGTAACCCAAAAGTTAAAAATTGGAATCAATATAATGCCCCCAAACTTATCCTTTTAACCCATTTCTGAGGCTACTGTGCTACCCCATGGCCTCACAGTAGCTCCATATGGATATATCTTTGCACATCTGCTATGCTAATTGCTGAAAGAGTCGTTTCTTGGAAGCAGCGGATATCAACATTAGGATTCAATACATGGCTCAACTCCTCCTCAGCAATGATATCTGAAAAGGCCAGGGCAAAAAGGAAAAGGTGAACTGACACATATCATAAAATGCCTTTTCTCCCAGTCTCCAATGTTTTGAGATCAAGTGGGGCAGGTTTCTGAAAGCATGATGGGCTGCTCCCTCTGAAGACAAGGGGCAGCTGTGGGGTCCTTGTGAAACTTCAGCCTGTGGCCAGCAGTTGTACTGTGCCGTGACTAGCAGAGTTGGTCCCAGCACCTCCTGAGCTGTCCTGACCTGCTTCCCCACACCTCCATGCCCTGATGCTGGGTGCTTGTGGTAGCTTTCCTATCCATTTCCCCTGCTCTTACAGGTTTTAACTGCCAAAATGGCCACTCCCCACCTCCCCATTGCTCCCCATAAGGGTATAATAGAGCATCTAAGCTGATAGACACATTTTGAACCCTAAAACCCTCCCATTTTGCTCTGGTGCTGACAGACAAACCATGAAGGAAGAGACATTCCACTTTGATTGTGGATTTTCCCAGGAAAAAGATTTTTAAGTACAATCTTTAAGGACTAGGTATCACAGGACCAGCAAGCTGTGCACCTGAAAGCCAGGCTCTGTATTAACCTGTTTGTTGTAGCCTGGCCACACTTAGTCTGTTTAATCCAGCAGAAATGGTAACATCCGGGAAATTAAGACAATAAAACTTCCTCCTTTCTGTTCCTGAGATAGGCTGCGGTTTGTGCTGAGACATCTCCTTTCCTCCAGAGGGAATCTAGCATGCCAAAGCCCAAACTGGCTCTGCTGTGCCAGTCTATCAAACTCAGGTCCTGCTCCCTCAACAAACCTCTAAGATAGGATATCTTCTTTTCTTTGGTACCTGAAAGAGAGACCTAAAGCTCACCTGAGACATAAAACACACTCAGGGCATTTCTGAGAGTTAAAGGCAAGCCCAGGGTTGCTGGGAATGATGCTCTGCCTCCTCCTCGGCTCCGATGAGCCAAACACTTGGCTCTCCAGCCAGCTGAACTCATCCTGTTGTACAATGCTCAGATCTTTCCCCAGGGTGAACTGCAGAGGAAGAACTGCTGCCTGCTGGGGGGAATTGGGGCTCCCTAAACTCAAGCTGGGATAAAGGAACCGAGGGAAAACTCCAGGAGCCTCCTGCCAGCTGCATCACTCACTCATAGCATTTCCACAAATAAGCCATTAACACTTTGTGTCTCGCTTTAGTCACCTCTGAAATACAAGTAGAAGGTACTGTAAGGCAAAATGAAAAGCATACATCAAAATGCCTAAGGTTCTCTGACATTCAAGTTAACTAAGCACAATACACTCCCAGTTTGCCCCTGTCTACACAATGCTATGCCCAATTCAAGGACTCTCAGAGAGAAGTTACTGCAGAACTCTTTTACCACTGACTGCCTTGGTCACTGTAGTGTCAGTAAGTCAAAGTTAAGCATGAAATATTCAAGCAAATATCTTGGAGACAACAGCCTCTTTAAAACATCAACAGCAAAGCAGGTCATGATAAAAAACACAGGAAGATAAATCTTCATTAAAAGGGTTGTTCTATAGCAAAAAGTCAGAGATAAGTGGCCTGGCAGAGAGGTGGGAGGGAAGATCATGCCATTCTCTGAAAGATAAGCATGAGATGAAGTAAAAAGCTCTGGGACTGCCCATAAGACTACAGCCTTACTTCTGAAGGAACTGAGGCTTGCAAATGTCTTTATTAATGTCTCTGATCTATCATATTCCTCAGTGCAATGATGAAAAGAGCAATTTGATTTTGAAGCTTGAGAAAATAGTGTAGATGTTCATCAAACCTTATCCATAATTGCTGCTGTCTTTAACTGTGGTTATTCTAATGAATAGTGAATAAACTACCTTGCAGTAGGAAAAGAGCACATTTCAGGTGGATTGACCCTGAGAAAGGTACTTTGAAATGAGGGTAATTCAGCAATCCCAGCCAGGCAATGCCTGGATTCAGGTTAGAGTCAAGAACCAGAATACACACCAAAAGAAAATGAGTAAGTGACCACCTCTCCTTCAAAAGTTCCACAAGTGAATTGCCAAGACAATGTTCCAGCTGTCATTCCACTGTTAAGGATTTGTCCATGGCAAATTTGTCCACATCTCTTTGTCCACGGCAGCCTCATGTCCCAGCCACAGTTTGCACCTTTTGGTCTGATTCTCTGCTGACCCCAGCATTTGTCTTTGAGTTGCTACAAAAAAAATAGGACAATAAAGCTCCTGTATAACTGCAATCAGTTAAATAATAAATAAAATTGTCAGTATTACTACTTGCCTCTAAAGGGATAGTTGGAGATCTTAAACATCAAGGCTTGGCTGGCAGGAAAAACAATCTAGTGAGGAAGACTCTAACTGCTTTATTTCTATGTGTTGAAGGGAGAGCAGTGTCTTTGGAGGCAGTCTAAGAAGTGTTCACTGATACATGTATGACTCACTGCGATTGTAGGTCATGTATGGACAGTCTGAATGTCAAGGGTAAAGGTTTCATGTTTACACCTACCCTACTGCATAAAAAGCTCCTTGAACAGTGTAAACACATGGGAAGGGACAGTGTACAAGTGACTGATGATCTTTTCTTGCCCTATCAATTCAAGATCTTAAATCATGGGTTGTTTTTTTCCTTGGTAAATACATATACCTATGTATTTTATGTGCCCAAGCATGCTGTTTCTTCTTAGCATATTGAATGACTGCCATTCAATCACTGGGAGTGATTTACCATGACAGACCAGGCAGACAGCTCTGTAGCCTGAAGAGAAAGACTCTCATCTGAAGCTTGGGATTCCAGTTCTCATCTTACAGTGATGCTTCTGCTGTGATTTGGGAAATGAGGAAGAGCTCTATTATTTTCTAATAGACTTTGAAGCCCAACATAACAAAAGATGACTATGAGCAGAACTTTTCTCCGAGTGTTTGTGGAGGCCCTCTCCCTGTTCTTGCTGCAGAACCAGAACAGCCACTGCCATATTTGATATCCATTAAATATCCTCTGATAGTTCAAGTGAATTAAGTGCCATTTGGGCAAATGGCAAATACAGCAGTCAGAAGAAAGGAAAAAAAAAATGAAGCATGCATCTTTATATAAAGCTTCATTTAACATCCTTTGAAATCAATGTAAACCCTTGCATTGACGTCAGTGAGCTTTCAGTCAGACTCATACCACTGTAAATGCAAATTCAAGCTTTCCAGTAGTAGAACTCGTGTAATAAAACACATTTTTGATGTATTGAACAGCGCAATCAGACTTCCCTTTGATCATCCACAGCAATCATCTTCTGTGGGTTTTAAAGTGTGTTACAAAGGGAGGCGAGCATCATCAGCCTCAATTTACAAGCGACAAAGAAGAGGCAGAAGGAGACGAAATGATTAGCAAAGGCTGCCTAATACAATCAGGTGAGATTATAGCACATGCTTCCCAACACCAAACTGGGCTCTTATCTAATAAGTCAAACTGATAGAGGACGTAGTTTGTTACCAAGATATCAAAACAATCCTTCCTCTTTATCTTCCTAGGCAGAGCTTTCAGAAAGCATGAGCTCAAAAAGCTTCAGGCACAAATCCCAGTCAATTTGGAGATTAAAAAAAACCCCAGCCAACCAAGCGAAAAAAAACACCCCCAAAAGTCATAAACAATAATGAAATGGTTCAAAGTCCCTATAAAAACCTCATGTGACCTCTGCATGATTCAAAATCAGACCCAGGTCCACAGTGAAATTTGACATATGAGGCTTGCATTTAACTCAGCGAATATTCATGGGAGCTATTATATGTGTATCCCCTGGTTGTTTTCTCCTCCTAATAAGATGACGTCTTCCAGGACATACCACTGTGTCCTTTCTTGCTGAATGGGTCATCTCCATGCCTCATCATAGGTTCTCCCAAGAGGAGCTGGGCCTCCCATTCCAGTCATCTGGCACTGTAGGGCAGCTGCAGCTCCAACTCCCATGCAGAGGTTAACCAGAAGTCAGAGAAGGCAACAGCTATGTGCATATTAGAGCCCTGCCCAGCTGGAGTGTCTCCCCCTCCCAGTTGCTCCTCTGTGGGCTTGCCTTCATGGTGCTCCTACCTTTTGGGCACCTAAAACCTGCCATTGGGCTAGTCAGTGATGGCACTGCGCAGCACCCCAGGGCCCTGCATGCCCTCAGAGATGGAGGGGGGGAAGAAACAAAAAAGAAACGTGAAAATTCAGTTTCATAGTTGAAATTTTTCACATCGCGGTGGTCAGGTATAACCCCATCTGCTGACCTTCCAGTGCACAGGTGTAAAAGGAAGAAAGTCTGACCAAGCAATCACAGAATTATTCAGTCTTCAATCAAAAATAAATCAGCTTCATTCAGACAAAGCACCTGTCTAACGTCTTGCACAATTTCCCCTGCTCAAAAGCTGTCTTGCACCACTGACAGTGATTTCCAAGTAGTTTGTTTTCCCTAAATTTCAATGGACAGCATGAAGACAGCAACATCAGATTGCTTGCCAGAAACCCTCATCATTCAAGCAAGGAAAAGCCTGATTAATTAATCAGTCTTTAAGCACAGAGGAGGAAAGGCAAGTGGAGATACAGAGCCACTCCAAAGGAGACTCTGTAAGGAGATGCTATTTTGGATATAAAAGATAGGCTCGCAGCACAGTGTTCAAAGTCAGAAGGGCTTAAAAACTGTCATCTATTCCTGTTAGTAGAGCAGTCACAGTTAGGAGCCTGCTGCTCCCTGTGCATCAGCAGCAAGCCTATTTCTGTAAGGTGCCAAGTGTTGATGCATACAGAATCACAGTGTTAATACATAAAGAATCACAGCGTGCAGCCTGTAAACAGGCAGACAATACCGGCGAGCTGGGGACACAAACACACACATGCTTCACCCCCTCTCCAAGAAGAGTGGGAAACACCATGCACTCTACTACCCAAACCATGCATTCAGAGGTGCCTCCACAAGTCAGATCTGAAGCTGCCAGATAAATGTCCTCTCGAATGCACCTGTGCACATCAATGTGACATCCTGTGGCAGGTTCAATTAGTCTCAAGCACTCGCTCTCACCTATGCGTCCCCCTTGTAGTACCACAGCTTGTGTCCTTCCCCCCTTTCCCACCCCAGGAGAACAGCAGTGCACATCACATCACCTTGTAATATTTCACACATACATCCAGAAACAGTAGTGCATTTTTCTCTGTCATAGGACATACAACACAGAGGCAAGCTGCTGTTCCAGACCCCTCTGCTGTTATGTTTAATCTTAAAATCTGGTCCCTCATCTTACATATTTCCCATTCATCCAAAGGGCCACAAGCAATAGCTTTCCTCTGTGTCAGAGGAAAAACTTCCTTTAGGTTTTTGAGATGTGCCTTGCCCCAGAGGAGGTCTCAGGTGGCTTGGAGACCTGGCTGAAATAGCTGAGGATCCTTTATGCAGATGGAATTTAAGATAGCACAGCATGGTTGACTAGGTCTTTCCTAAGAAGGTTACCATCTTAAACTACTGTAGAGGCTGTTGAGATGTAGCTGGTGAGCTAACAAAGTCTGGGGAGCAGGGCTGTGTCCCTTCCTCTCTGGGTGGTGGTGACAGGGCATGTTCACACCTCACAGATGGACAGTTTTTCCATTAAATATAAAAGGCACCTGTATTAATTTGCAGCAGCACTTTCATAAGAGCTGCCTGCAGCAATAGTAGGACTGTGTCTCCACTGAATTTACCATCCATACACAACATTCGTCTCCTGGGACTCATTAAGGGGGCTAGGGACAGACAGGGCTGAGACCCCAGTTCTTGATGGCTAGGTGGGAAAAGGAGCTTTTCCTACTTGAAAGGCTCAAGAATTGCTGCCATTATGTGTGTGATTTAAGGCTAGGAAAAACTGCATCCCCTCAGTAAATGTACTTGGACTAGATTCTATGTATATAAACACAGAAAACCCTTACTCATTCTTATGTCACTAATCCACATACCTCATAATTTGCACAGGGTGGGGGAGGAGAGGAAAATCAGCACACTGCTGCTTGCCAGCCAAAACATAATGCTGATTTCTCACTGCTCAGATTTCATTAACTTTCTACAAGACAACAGCAGAATATTTACTAATACACACAAAGCCACACACAGACCCCCACAGGTATTTATTGCCTTTGCTCTTCTATACCTACTATATATAATTAGATGTCTAGGCAGAGGCACAGCACTTTTTGGCATGCTACATTTTAATGGCAGGAGTGAAATGAAAGTATGCCAGTAGCTGTTATTTGGGGGCACCATCCCTCTAATTCCTGTACAGTTGAAGCCCAAACATTTTACAGATCAGCATGTAATCTCTTAATGTATTTTCAGGGCAAGTCAATCTTTCTCTGCATCCTTGTGCCTTCTCCGCTGTTGGAAAGACAGCATAGTCATTACCTCCTTCCTCTGCTTTTCCATCCTTCCCTCTACCCACAAACACTCCAGAGGCATTGAGTAATTCTGTCACTGCTTCATCACAGCTGCCTCCTTATCCCCTGTGACAGTGCACCTTTAAATGAGAGCAAATAATGAAAGAGCATGTTTGAGGAGGTGAAGGAGCCTGAATGCAGAGCATAGTGTCCCTTGACCAGTAGGAATACATACACACCGAGCCCCACATGTCCCAACGCACGTCAGATCAACTGAGCCAGACTCAGGGACTTGGTAAGCTTCCACTTCATGAAGCAATGGATGTGCTTTAATCACCCTTTGGCAGTACCCAAAAGAGCATCCGCATAAGCAGAAAAAGAGAATTAATTAGTTACTAAACCTTTCCCAGGAACCACATTACCCTCAGACTTAATGATCTCATCTTCTGGTTGCTGGCTTTGGGGTTCTTAACAACCTCCGATTCTCCTGGTCTTCTCTCCCTGGGAACGCTGCCTTTTGTCATACACAGGCACATAATTGTTAAGGCCAAATGGTAACATCCACTCTGCTCAAAGTTATTGCTCCACAAGTACACCATCAAGTTAGGAAGAGTCCCAGTACCTCCAAATCTGCCTCATTCCTCCTTAATTGGGCTCTACAAGACTTTACCACTGCAGACAGCATGAAAGAACCGAACAAACACATCCACTGAACAAGCCACACCAGAATCATTTACCAAAATGTTTCTGTGTGTTCTTTCACCGGGAAATTTTGCTGCCAAGTACCTTGTGGAAAGGAAAAGAAGATGTCCTGACCTAACTGCCCCAGCAAGTTGTGTCTAGTAGGAGAGTCTCCCTGCCTCTTCAGCAAGGAGCATCCAACCACCCAAATTTGGCTCTAGCGATCTCCCTCAACCAGCATCGATCTCACCCTACCCAGCAGTGGGAAATGGCCCATACCATCAGTCCTGATAGGTCCTCTTCGCAGCAGCACTTCCACACAATGTGGACATCACCATACTCATGCCAAGGAGCCAGAGGCAACCACAGCATTTCAGTTAGTAACCACACTGCTCTGCTGCCAAGAACAGAAAGATCTCCTCCCTGCAAGGAAAGGGGAAGAGGAACACGAGGATTCCTCACTCTGTGGTCATGCTCTGTTGTAACCCTCCAGGAAAACACAGTATAAGCTCAGGGGAGCTTCAGCCTGCATGTTTACCTGTTTAGTCTCTGCAAAGCTGGGGAAAATGTGGATTCGGGATGAAAGCTTGCAGGAACATGACCAGTGCTCACAGCTCTGCCTAGCCACAGCCACAGCCTCATCTTCTGGAAGAGAATCATAGAGTGGTTTGGATTGGAAGGGACCTTCAAAGCTCATCCAGTCCAACCAGCCTGCAATAAGCACGGACATTTCAACTAGGTCAGGTTGCCCAGAACCACATCCAGCCTGGCCTTGAATGT